GGCTGCTCTGATTGGCAGCAGCTCTCCAGGCAGAGGTGCAGACTTCTCAGTTTCCTGGGCACGGCACGGAGCTGAACTTGGTACAGGTCCACACTTGGTAATCTTTATTAAATAATATTTCCACAAAAACATATGCCATCAACAATTAATCATTTGATTTTAAATTTTCTTTTTCATGCATAATAGTCTGAATCTGAGTCAAAGAAAGAGGATTCTGTGAAAGACAAATTGAGTAAACATTTCATGTATGAAAGGACATATTTCCTCCCCCAGTTTGGTGTAGCGGTTAAGTGGGCGGACTCTAATCTGGGAGAACCAGGTTTGATTTCCCACTCCTCCACTTGCAGCTGCTGGGTGATCTTGGGCAAGCTATAGTTCTGTCAGAGCTGTTCTCTCAAGGACGGTTCTGGAAAGAGCTCTCTCAGCCCTACCTACCTCACAGGGTATCTGTTGTGGGGAGGGGAAGGGAAAGGAGTTTGTAAACTGCTCTGAGTGAAGGATGGGGTATAAATCCAATCTCCTCCTCCTCCTTTTCCTTATAATTTAGGGTAAGTTGTAACTGGCCCAAGGTCACTTAAGTGTCCTTCATGGCTAAGTGGCTTCTCAGTCTTAGACTAATACTCAAACAACTATACCACTTAAACATTGGATACTCAATATGAGTCTCCAAATGCATCTCAGGATCCACAGTAAATCCACAGTAAGTAAATATTGGCTTTTCAGTTACCCTGACATAAAATTATTGGAGCAATTGTTTGGTTGAAGCAGGGTCCAGGAGGACAACATAATTACTTCACTTTCTACAATATTTGGTGAACCAGTTTTATCTTCCCCCTCCCCATGTACAGATGCACAGAGCCAAAAAAAGTAGCTATTCCTATATCTTCCATTTCTGTTTCTCTAAAGCTGCAAGTCTCAGGATACCAAAATCACCTTAAGTTCCAGCATTTAAACTATGGGCTTCTTCTCCCCCTGCCCCCCAACACACATGGCTAAAGACAGAAATATCCCCATCCATGTCCTCCATTTCTTCTTCTCTAAAGCTGTAAGTCCCAGGATATTGAAATCACCTTAACTTCCAGTACATTGTGTGATTCGATGATCCACAGGTTGAAGATAGGGGCTTTAGGCAGAACTTCCCAAGGAAAAAATAAGGCGGTGGAGGGATGCTCCTGTGTGACAAGTAAGTGTCCCAAAGTCCCAGAGAAAGAAAGTGGAGTTGGCAGATTCTGTACACATGGAGAGGATGAGACTGCATAGTTTAAGCCTAAACAACTTCATGATGCTACCTGGCAGTTTAGGGCAGGGGTAGGGGCCTTGAGCTCCTCTGCCCCCCATAGTTAACACTCCTGTGTCCAGAGTCTCAGGTCTTTCATATCACCCACAAACTGATCCTTCTTGAAGTACAGATGTCAGGGATTTAATATTGGACATTATGCATGCAAAGGAATGCTCTACCAAAGAGCCATGCCTCCACCCCTTTGAAATAACGGGTTTAAATTTAGGGTGGGAAGGTACCAGCTGGATATTAGGGAAAACTTTTTTACAGTAAGAGCTGTGCAACAGTGGAATCAGCAGCCTAGGGAGGTGGTGACCTCCCTCTCACTGGCAGTCTTTAAGCAACAGCTGGACAAACACTTGTCAGGGATGCTCTAGGCTGATCCTGCATTAAGCAAGGGGTTGGACTATGTGGCCTGTGTGTGGCCCCTTCCAACTCTGTGATTCTATGATTCTATTAAAGCTGATAATACACCTGTGCCTCCACTGGAACACAAACACAGGGCTAGGAATTGGTGAGAGTAAACCCCCCCCCATCTGAGCTAGGTCACTGGTCCATTCTCTTGTATTAGTTTTGAGACCTAGTGGGATTCTTATGTCAGTCAAGGCAGAATATTCTGGGGTGGCGATGACAGAACATACTGTGTCCAAAGCCCATAGCCCATGAGGCAAATAGCAGCCTCTGGGTCATTTTAAGTCAGGAAAATGTCATGAGGGGGAAGGCTGAAGCCCCTTCTTCCCCTGCACAGGAGTCCCGATCTGAATTGGCACTTGGAAAAAAAGGTTCCCTTGCTCCTCCTGACATCTGTCAGCATCAAAGTCAGGTTGGGGGAACCCTGATCCTGCATGTTACAAATCGTTCAGGCCTAAGGCCCATAAGAACCTGAAGCCAGAGCTTCATCACACTTCCTTTTAGCTGGTCATTTCCCCCACAAGATAATAATAATAATAATGACAACAACAACAACAACAACAATAATAATCAACTTTCAATTTATTGATAGCTCAATCCTTGCAGAGCTGCTGGCTCTGAGCGATTTTACAGTTACTCATTTCACAAGGGACTAACAATGCTTTATAGGGGTAAGGGAGGACAACACAATATAATCTTTACATAGCACACGTTTTGCAGCCGACGGGTTGATATTCTGTCTGTGGGTGTGATGCTACTGTGTCTTCCACCTATGGAGATAAGCACTTGAGGTGAGGGGATTGTGATGAGTGATTCACAAATCAGTTTGTACTTTATGCCAGATGGAATACACACACACACACACATTTCATCTACCTGTATAGACAGCAGATTAATTTTTTCATTGAGACAGGTTTCCAGAGGGCAATAAAATAAAGTTGTTTTTTTTAAGAATAGTCTTCTAGTTTTCAAGCACAGACTTGAAGCTGGCTCTGCATATTTTCTAGAGAAACCATAACGGGATGAGACCAGGGGTGTTTGGTTTGTTTTTCTTTTTTCCTTATTTGCCGTTAGTAATTCAGTGCGTGGGAAACTCCCTAGTTCAAAGCCTCAGTCTGATTAATCATAGACAGGTTTCTTAATAGACTCAATCATGTTTAAGGGCAGCAATCATTCTGTAAAAGGAAATGTCACTAGGAAGAAAATAACAGACGGAGGAATAAACAAGCATGGTTGCTCACAAGATACACTCTTAATTTGTTTGCATACTAAAGGAAATACTTGGATAGCTTCTGAGAAGCTAATGCTATGGTCCCCATCAGTAGTGGTGCAGAGGTGAGGTGACATGGGTTCAAATCCTCTTTTGGTCATGAAGCCCTCTGGGTGACCTTGGACCAATCACTATCGCTCAGTCTAACCTACTTTACAGCATCGCTGTAAGATTAAAATGAAGGGAGAGCAATGAACACCACTCCAACACCTTGGAAGACTGGAATAAAATGTGATGGATAGTAGTAGATAGTGTGGGCATCATGGGAAAAGCAATTGGAGGTGTGTATTTATTTGAGGATCCAGTAAGAGGAGAAATGCTGCTGCTAGTGAGGGAACAATGGATAGTGGCCAGTTTACAGTGCAAGCAGTGCATAATGCCTACTGTGCTTTATTTCTAAAAATCAGAAATAAGTGAGTCCCTTGGAAGTCATGCTGTGGGATGGTCAAGGGCCATTTGACCTGTGCCTCCTACTCACAGGAGACCTCAATTCTAGCCACGTTTTATTTTTTGACATTGTTTAAGTTTTGCAACTTACCTCACTTTTTGGACACTTTTTTTCACACGTTATTTTAATTTTTTTATTGTTCCCTCTAAGCTGAGTTAGTGTGAGCTAGCTCACAGTTTTTTGTCCTCCAACTCACACATTTTTGTCTTCGCTCAGGAAGGATGGCTCCAGGGCAAACTAATTTATGCAGTAGCCGAATCGCTCGCTCACAACTTCAATGCCAGTAGCTCACAGAGCAGAATTTCTGTTCACAAGGCTCCACAGCTTAGAGGGAGCATTGGCTGAGACCTCTCATATGAGAGCATGCCGGGGTCTGCTCACAGCGGGAAGCGCATTCAGGATCTCTGGCGGGCGGAATGCCCTCTGTACCTGCTCAGAAGCAGTCTCTTCGTGTACCCGTGGACACTGGGAATGGGCCTGGGTGTTAAATATCCCCTCTCTTTCCCTTCTGAAGGCAAGACCCGGCCCCGGGGGGGGGGGGGGGGGGGGCCTCGGGCTGCCCTCGCCTGGCTCCTCCCCGCCGAACGAGTCCGTTCCTCCCGAAAGAGCTCGGCTGGCTTCCGCGGCTGCCAACAGGCGCTGACACACATTTCGGTCTCTCCCTCCGTCCACCACCACGTTGCAAACTCCGCGGGACCTGCCTGGAGCTCCTCCCCCCTGGAAGCCTGGCAAGGGCAGAAGCGGGAGAACGGGAAGAGGAGGAGGCGGCAGCGGCAGAAACAGCCTCGACGCCCCAGAGCCCGGGGCGGGCGGGTAGGGAGGGTGGCAGCAGGACAAGGAAGCCGCGCGGAGGGCGGGCGTCGAGCAGCGTCGGCTGCGCCATGGCCCGCCCGAGACGAGCGTGACTTCCCAGCCCAGGCGGCCGAAAGTGCCACGAGAAAACTTCTGGTCGGGCAGGCGAACTATTCCAAGGATCCCTCCCGACTCGGCGGTGGGCCTCGGCGCTTGCCAGGGCTGCTGCTGCGGCGGCGGCGGCTTCAATCTGGCGTGGCCCGCCTGCCAGCCAGCCCCCCCAGCGCGCCGCGCGCGCCTCGGAACGTCCCGCGCCAAGTTCGCGCGGCCGGCCGGCCGGGCGAGCGGCTTCGGCCTGGGGCGGTGGGTAACTCTGGCGGGGCGGAAGAAGAACTAAGCCTCCCTTCCGAGTTGGAGGGAAAGGAAGGAGAGGCAAAGATTTCCCCCCGTTGGGTTGGGTTGGGTTGTGGGGGAGAAAAGGACGAGCTTCGCGGGCTTCCTTCCTCCGCAGCTTTCCTATTTCCACTCGTCCTATTTCCTCGGGGTGGGTGGGGGAGTAGGTGTAGGTCCCCTTCCCTCCCTCCTTAGTCCACTCCTAGTGGCCTCTGCCGTGTGTGTGTGTGTGTCTGGTTTGAAGGAAGACACGTTGACAGTTAGCTTGCCTGAGGAGAAGGTTACTGTGAAACTTGGCACTGGAAGTAATGCCATGACGAAAACGTGAGGGGGGGGGGTTATACATGCGTTGTTTTTCTGAGACTCGCTCTGAAGTAGTCCCTTTCTCCCCCTTCATTCAGGCCCTTTCACTCAAGTAATGCCAGAGAGATGTGAAGAGGTGTTTGTGGTCATGTGAGGCCTGGATGGTGAACAAACACGAACGTTGTGCCTCATCAAGTCTGGAATAAACTTTGCATGTAACGTTGCCCTGAGTAACACGAGGAAGATACTTCGGGCTTGTTAAAAACAATTATATGGTCTCCCCTCCCGTCTCAGTCGGTTAAAAGGATCGCAGAGAGGGCCTTTTAAAAAGGTTTTAAGTGACCGCAGAGAGGAAATTTAACATAGCAACGGAATCTAGTATTTAAAATCGCAGTGCCTTTTTTTTCCTTTCTGGATTTTTGCTTCTTTGGTAGTGCAAGTGAATATTTTTTTTTAAAAAAATGGATAAATATGATGATCTGGGGCTGGAGGCGAGTAAATTTATAGAAGATCTTAATATGTACGAAGCCTCCAAGGATGGCCTTTTTCGGGTGGACAAAGTGGTTGTGAACAACCCAGAATTTGAAGAAACCAGAAGAGTGTTTGCTACAAAAATGGCCAAAATCCACCTTCAGAAACAGCGAGAACAAGAGGAGCTGATGAAAGCAGCCTCCGGATCTTCAAATGGTGGTGCTGGTTTTGGTAGTCAGCATCAGTTTCCAGGCTCCCCTGTAGCTAGAGGTGCCACAGGAACAAACAAAGTGCAATTGGGAGAAAATATCGCTAAGCCTCCTTTGGCCACGTCTTCAATGGTATGTGCAGGGCACCAGCTAGCGTTCCCAAATCAGCCCCCACCTCCTACTGATGGAGAGTGGGCAAAGTTATACCAAGATGGCAAAAGAGCCAGTAGTGATCATGGATATAGTGACAGTCTGGTGGGTTCTGAAGTCCCTGGAGGACATGGTTATCGCAGAGCAGGTCAGGCAAGCCCAGGTGGTACCAAAGCAGCTTTTTCTTCCCTTTCCCATGAAGAGCTCAATAATGGCGATAACAGGACAGCTATTCACAGTTGGGGAAGAGATGCTGATAAGTTTTCCAGCCTGAAGTCTAACATGGGCTCCCATTTATGGTCAAATATGAATCATAGTGATTCACTGCAGAGAAGTCCTACGAAACCTCAAGCAGATCTCCAGCCATACCAACAGTCACGAAGTTGTTGCAGATCCTCTGAAAGTGGGTATGGCAGTCAGGAAAGTGGAGGTGAGGGCCCTGGGCTCAGTCAGAGCTGTGACCAAAACTCAACTTGCCCAAGAACGTCATCCTTTTCACATGCTTGTACCCCTTTGTCTTCTTCTGTTGGCTTTGGTGATGAATTGTCTGCAGGACTTCCCAAGCAAAGATCTTCTTCGTTTTCTGCACACCCTACTCAGGCACTTTTGAATCGGTCTGATCCCTTTCATCCAAACTGTGGGCTTGAGACGCTAGCTTCTGGCACCCCAAGTAAAAGTGTTGGTGACGGCCAATCGAGGCACGGCGAGAGTTCTCCCTCTTTGGTTTCTGCTTCACTTCCTACTCCGTTACCTCCAAGTGTTGGTTATCAGCAAGCCAACACTCAACCAAAGCCCACAGGCCATTTTGTAGTTCATGGTCAAAATCACAGGCTAAATTGTGCTGGATCTGGCATGAGCCCTGAGCAGAATTCCATCAGTGTAACATCTCATGGGCCAATGATTTCCGATGTTCCAAAACCTCCTTTTATAGAGGGCATTGGCACTCTGCAGCATGACTTGGGTCACCAAGAAACCTCCACTTCTTCAAAAATAAAATTGCCCTGTCAGACACTCCTTCCACAGCAAGAACAAGGGTCATCCACAGCAGAGTTAAAATTAGAAGCTCTTACACAGCGTCTAGAGCAGGAGATGGATTCTTGTCCCAAGGCTGACTACTTTGGTAGGTATATGTGTGTTTTTCAATATTTATAATGTATTATTCTGTATTACTGATGTTCAGTTGTACAAGTATTTGCACCTGCAGGCATGTTTTCTTGTTTTTTTTCTTTTCACTGGTGTCACTAATCATGGGGACCACTAATACTTTCTGTTATATTTTTTGAAAGCTACAATTTTAATGTACTAACTTCTGGAGAAAATCACAAGCTAGGGAAAAACGAATTAAAGGCATGTTTTTAGAAGCAAATTGATATACCAATTTTAACATCTCAAAGGCTGCAATTCACTGCACATTTCATTTCTGCTGTGTGCTGGATTATAGCCAGGTTTTTGTGTGTGTGGTAAACTATGATTTACAAATCTGGTGCGCGGTATTGCTTAAATCATTTTTCAATTATAACAGAAATTCGTAAGTGCAAGTGGTTATGTCAAAAGTAGTTGCAGATCTTTTTGGTGGCCTGAGAATACTAAGTTCCATGGGAATGAATGGGAGTAGCATGGTAAATTCTGACTTGATTTTAGGCATTTGCAGTTGAGTGTGCTACCTAGCTGAGCCAAAATGTTAGTTTTTATGGCAATTTAGAGAGGAGTCCTAAGCAGATCTACTCAGAATTCTACTCAGGTCTACCCAATGGGGTTTATTCCCAAGAATGTGTTCTTATTATTGCATTGTAAGGCACATAAAACAAATTGGCTTGAATCAGTCTTTGCCCTAAGTGTGAGATGAAGGGCACAGGGCCTTTGAGGCTTTGTTGGCAAGGCTGGACACTTCCAGAGGGTAACCATATTAATCTGTTGTAGCAAAATACAACAGAAGTCCAGTGGCATCTTAGATTAACAATATTTATTTCACCATGAGGTTTTGTGAGTCAGAGCTTCAGATGTTATAGGAAAGTTTACAGGAGGGGGGAAGGGAGAAGTTGGGGGCAGACTTAGAGGCATGGTGTGAATCCCATCATGAATCTTTCAGGTGTAGATTCTCTGCGTAAGGGATTGGAATGTGTTAGGTTGTTACACAACACGGATGATGCGAGAGGTCAGAAACTCCAGTTTCTTTATCTCATGGACTGGAGTTAAAGGTGAATTAAGTAGGATAAACGGCAGTTAATTGAGGATGAAGCAATATCAAGCTTCAGAAAATTAACCAATCTCTGTAAAAGGTTAAGAAGAGCCAATTACAATTTCTAAAAATTGGGTCCTGTTAAGGCTGTGCTGCCTTAACTGTGCTGCCACTCATCCTTCCTACTCTACAGAAAAGATATGGTTGCTATGGAGAAACAGAGATGGCCATTTTGTAGAGAGAGCTCTGAGGTACATTCTGTCTTCTCAGAGGCATCTGAGGTACACTCCTTGTGTGGAGAAGCCAACTGGGTCAGAAGGAATTGCATGGTGCACTTTCACTTTACATCCCACTCACCTTCCTCTTCTGTAACTTTCATTAATGATCATTAAGTAGCATTGTAGGCACTGTGTGTGTGCTTGGGTAGTTGTTGAACAGATTAAATGGTCGGCCATCATCCTTGATTTTATTTAAAAATGATGCATGCTGGCCAGCAAATTATGTTAGAGATGGTAACTTTTGTGTGTTTGGCACACTTAGAGAAAAGTTTGATCATGTGTCTACATTCTCATGGAGTTCTGGTGTGTGTTCACACTGTTCATTTGATCCTAATACATTGTGGGTTTCCATCTACTTCATTGCAAGGTGTGGCAGTGACTTCTTGATAAATTTAACAGAGCCATGGGGTGGGAGCCATAGTTCAGTGGTAGAGCATCTTTCTTGCAAGCACAAGGTCCCAGGTCTTGTCCCTGGCACCTGCAGCTCAAAGGATCAAGTAGAAGTTGGTCGTGTGAAACGACCTGAGAGCCATGGACAGTCAGTTGGTCATACTGACCTAGATTAAACCACAGTCTGATTCAGTATAAAGCAGCTTTGTTTGTCCATTTCATAGCTTAATAATAAATAATGAAAATAACCCCGAGAATATGCGAACAAGAGAAGGACTTTCGTTTATGATTCCTAACATTGTGGCTGTCATGCAGCATTTTTTGTAGTTCTCTATATGTTGGGGACTTGCAGCGACCAAGATCTTGTCGCTGTTACTAGGGTGACACTGCATGTTTTAGAAATGTGATATTCCCAAAGAAAATGGCAGTTTCATGTCAGTGCCCCACCCATGCACTATACAACTTGAGTTGAGTCAGAATATTATGTGGAACTTTTCCCTACTGTTTCCAGTAGTAGCCAATAATATAGAGCCAGGGTTAAGGAAATGAATAGCATGATGACAAGCCATGAGATAATAATTTTGTATTATAAGCAGAGATGTACAATTTCTGAAAATTTTCAAGCGGTGGACATCTTGGGAAAAACTTTAGTATATACAGTACTTCTTTATCGAGGCTAAACTTATTTTACTGCTTTAACAATATAAAATGCTTAGCATATTAACAGGGTTGTGTGAGGCTTCCTGCTATGGCAGGAGATCTCCCACTGACTGACCTTGTTGCCCGCTGACACTTGGAGCAGTGGCAGAAGAAGAAAAGAATGCTGGTGATGTCACTTTGCTCTAGGAATTGGCAAAAGCTGTGGTTTTACCCAGAAGTAACGTCATGGTGCCGGCAACTCTGGTGCCTCCCCCTTCTCCCAAGCTCTCTACATATAAAATTGTACTTGGTATATTTATGAAATGTAGAAGTATAAATGCCTTCGTTTTCTACAAACAAAATTGTGATTATAGTACCTAATGAGAGAGAGAGAGAGAGACGGAAACTGCATAAAGTTGATGGTCCTCCCATGTTCTTTGCAGTTTAAATTGCAAGCCTAAATTCTTTAGCATTGTGGGGAGGGACATATAAAATTATTCTTGATCTTTCTGTGGTATTCCAATTTAAAGTATCTTTCAAGTTAGGCCCAGTTTTCTCCATTTTTTCTCCTGTGTGTGCCTCCTCTCTCCTCTCAGTCTGGATTAGTGTATTCTGCAGTTTGCATGCAGCTGCTCAGTCCTAACGTAGATGTTTGCAGCATGGTGCAAGAGCAAAACTCTATCATGTGTTTATGTGTTTAGGGCAGTCAGGTCAGACAATCTGGGAGCAGGATAAAAAACTGCTTGGCAGTGAGCAGAAGTTGTCATGTGCACTGAGACCCTAGTGAATTTAAGATCATTGCAAACTTAATCAAAGCATCTGTGGTCAGATATCTTCTTGAATATTTATTTTTCGAAACACAGTAAATAAATCTGTTCAGGGAAGGGTGTGTAACAGATAATGAGTTTTTGACTTTCTCCTTTCTCTAAATAGTCAGCATTGCAAGGAATACACTTTGATCTTCTTGGAAATGTTGGATGCAGTACCACACAATAGTAATTTTGGTAACTGGAGGTCTAGACAGTGGGTGTGCAGGATTATTTTAATTGATACCCTTGTGGGAAAGAGGAGAGCTGAGGCTACTTAAGTCCCAATGGAATCTGATGAACAAACCCCACACCCTCCAACAATAAGACTGAGAAGGGTATGGATAGCGTAGCCAGTTCTAGATACCAGGAAGGGGGAGTTGAATTGTAAGGGAGAAAATACAGTTGGCTCAAGGCCTCTTTCAGTATAATGTTTTGCTGTGAAGGCTGGCTTTTGCAATAACTTCTATTTATTTATTTGCTTAAAACATTTTTCATACCACCTTTCCACCCAATGAGAGTCCCCAAGGCAGTGAATATAAAAACGTTAAAACTCTTGAACAAGTTATAAATAAAGTTATAAAAATATTTCAATTCAAAAATAACACCAGAATCTGGGAGGATGACCAGTGACCATTATTGGGGTATGGCTAATGAAACAAACAAACAAAATCACTTCCTGGTAGAATACATTGATAGTGGAGACATAAGAATCAACTTAGGAAGCATTCCTTCAGAATTAAAATAAGTCTCCACTTCTCCCCTCCTCTTAATTGGGGTAGGAAGGACCAATGATTAAAGGAGCTGGAAGAAACGTAGTATCTTGATCATGTATCTTTTCTGTAAAGGGAAAAAATAACCCTTTCTTCTTTCTCCTATATATTCTTCTGGTTAAGAAATTCTAAAAGCACACATGTGGAGAAAATGCTACATAGGAACTTGCTCACTGGTAAACTGTAGCCTGACGAAATACCTTGGAAAAGTTAAGATAAAGAGGAGTCTTGTGATATCTTAAAGACAAAACTTTATTCCAGCATAAGCTTTCATGGACAAGAACCTATACACCTCACCTTGCACAGGTCTCTGGAGAGATGGTATATCTTTCAAACAAACATATACACTTCTTCAGGTGCTATAAGCAGATCTTTAGTAGGCAGCCATTTTATGTAGGGAATGTGAAAAATAGGAAGGTCAAAGAGCCATGGAAATGCGGGAAGCACCGGGTGAAAGGAAACTAGACAAATTTTAATCTAATCAGGAAAAAGTTGCTACCAGAGAATACTGTCTAGAATTCTCTCTCCGTCCCCTCTTTCTTCTTTCTTACTTCCCTGACAGTTATCTAGTATAAATGGCAGCGTTTACTTTGAACCTGATGAGAGCATATATTTATTCAGGCTTCTGTTGCAAAATAAGCCCTCTTCAAATCACTTCCACCAATAAGCCTATTCTGGTGGAAGTGGTCACTTAATCTTCTGGACTTTCAATGTTTAAACGCTTTTCAAAGGAAATAATGATACAACTATTGCACTATCTGGTCTGCTTTAAATAGTCTTCTGTTGAGTTCATACTGTATATACAAGAACATTATTCTAGTCTGCAGTCATCAGGAAATGACAGTAGAGAATTAAGTGCAAATATGTGGTTTGAGATAAAATCATTTGAGCTTTTATGAAGGTGTTAGTTGCAAACACAAAATATTCTACTTCAATTTTATTTTGCTCTGTCTGTCTTCACAACTCTCATTTTGTTTGCTAACAGACCACATTTACAAAGAGAGAAAGAAAATAGTTCTCCCCACCCAGCCTTGGAGAGCATTTTGTTCCCACTA